AACATGATTAAGATATCAACTTAGTAGGATATGGGCTAGATGCTGCAAAAAGGGACGAATTTCATATTTTGCAAATCACGAGATAAACAATGATTTGTGTTTTGATCACAAGAGTGATCGACATGTATCCGACCCAATTTAGGCATCAGAAAAATAGCTCGTGTAACCCGAAAACTTACGATAATTTCTGAAAAGTGCTGAGAAAAAGGACGAAATTTGCAAAAATATGATTGGCTAATATAAATTTGAAATTCATAATAATAAATTTAAGATTCTATAGTGAATATCGATATGGGAACGCTGAGAATAAACACCCTCTTGATATAAAATACACACCAGCCTTTGTCAAGATATTTTATAATTAGTTATTTACCATTTCATTATGATCGCATGACGGTATTTTCAGTGTTATTAATCACAATTTCTATCACAAATTATTTCTTTTTTTCTTTTACTAATTTCCGAGTTATTAATTATCTCCCAAGCTTTATTCCCAAAAATTTTAAAGATGTAGACGAAGATGAAGAAATGTGATAAAAATGATTAGTAATACGAATCTCTGTCATGTCGTCATATGAAACGATAAAATAACACATTTATTCTGCTGTGCTGGTGCGCTTTATGCCCCACCTATGCCGCTAGATGATATTTCATTATTCCACCATTCTGAGAAATAAATAGTACTTATTAATACAGTATTTAAGCAATACAAAAATATATTGTAAAATGCTCAAGTATAAAATTGTAAGAGAAGATGATCTATACACATGACATCAAACTAGAGATGTAATTCTGCTTAACCTGATTAGTTTGTGCTTCGGAATATTGTTCCGAAACACATACAAAAAATTGGGTTCCATACTCTGTTTTAAACTTAGTTATACACATAAATATTAACTATACTTGCCTGAACATTTTAGTAATATATTTAGGCGAGACCAATTTGATTTGGTGGTTTACATTACATCTTTTTTTTGAAAGAGGGGGGGGAGGTTTTGGAGAGGTTTATATAGTAATATTTTCAAAAATTTTTTCTCCGAAAAAAAATTTTTTTACGAAATGTTTCGTACTATATAAATTTTTCCAACATAGCCTGTTTCCTTATACTATTTATCTAAATTTTTTTTTACTATGAGGAAGAGGGGGAGTAATATAAACCACCAAATTAAATTGGTCTCGCCTTATTAGAATACATACATCAATTTGCATAATGATAATTTATTATTTAAAAATGTCATATTATCCTTACAGTGCAATTGTGTGATTAAGGAAATTAAACAGATATAGTGAAAAGATGGTTAGATGTTAGATTTGAGATACAGTGATATATTATAATTTAAATCAGAACATATTTCACTATCAGTAGTCAATTTTTCAAATTTTAGGCCAATTTACAAATGCGCAATTAAAAATTAAAAGTTACAGATCACGAAACTTTTTGCCCATAAGATCGGATTCGAGCACACTGAGTTTTATTCACATAACTAAATTCACATGATTAATAAAACTCGTGTTTAACTAGTTCGGGTTTCGAACAGAGCCGAAGAGTTCAGAAAAGCAGAATCACATCCCTATATAGAACTAGTTGCGGTAGTATAAAAAATATTTCAATATCAATTTTTAAGTACAGCAACTAAAATATATCAATTCTTAGCAAATAAAAAAATGATTTTATCTTTATTTATCGCTATCATTATAAAATATTTATTTAAAGTTAATTCATCAAAATGTCAATATCAATTCCAATCATTGTAATTTTTTTGACTTTGTTTTCAATAAATTAACACTAATTAGCAATTGTCTTTAGATGATATACCTTTTGTAAACAAGAATTAAGTAAAATGATTGTTTAAATTAAAAAAAAAACTTTACAATGCGTTTTTTTTTTTGAATATTCTTTTTTTTTTTTTCTTTAAATTTCAATCGGCGTAATTAAATATATCAAATAGTATGATTTTAGAATGAATGTAGTTATTCAAAATCTTTGATCCAGAGTAAGGAATTTAAATCGACATAACCACTAGAATCTAATCACTACTTGAGGATCAGGTCACCAACAATAATAAGATAAAAAATCAAGACCCTATCATTATGCTAATTGGTTTTTTGTTAAAAAATTATAATAATTTAACTTAAAATATTTAGATCTGCCTTACTTTACTGACAGCTCATTTAGCTGACATCACACTAAGTGAAATTTATTAAAAATGCTAACCCTAACCCTATGTGATATCAGCTAAATGAACTTTCGGTAAAATGACTATCGGTGAGGTAAGTAGCACCGAAATATTTCTACTTGTTAAATTTTTTTTTGCTTTAGGATGAGGTACACATGGAAGTGGACAAAATTCGTCCTTTTTTGTGGGATCCTGAATATGGCCACGAACTTGTTCGTATAGATACCACTGCCATTCTGGAGATAATGTTTTGGCTAAGAGAGGGGCTGGAAGATTTGAAGAAGGAAATAAATTTATTTTATTTGGTTTTAGTAATATAATTTCCGTTTTTTTCTCACAAATTGCAGATTTTATTTCGATCTTTCCAGGGTTTTCTGATAAAATGATAAAATGGTGCTGTTTTAAAAGTTGCGGAACATTTACAAATAATTCGTTCAAAAATTCATCCCATTTATAAAATTTAACTTTTTGAATGCCATATGAATCGTAAATCGTTTGTACTATATTATAACCACCAACAGTAGAGTTATGAATAACCTGAACCATATCTGCCATGTTATCTACTTCAGAATCCTGAAGTTTTAATTTAATAAGACCAAAAAAACCGTCTGGAGAGAATTTTGTATGACCAGCTACCATGAATGAATATATAATTCGTTTATGCAAACCATTTAAAACATGCCACGTTAAATATTTTATCATCGTATTATTCTTGTTTTGTCCTGGACAATTGTTGGCATAAATAACAAGATACTTTTTACCAAAACTGTGATTTTTAAAGTAATGATGAATCATTGAAACAACAGTATTTGCTCCCTTTCCAACATCCTCACTTTCTTTGATTAAATAATTTTTCTAAAATATAAAATGTATTTACTAAAATAAATTTTAATACTTCACTAACAATCATTTCACTAACAGCTTATTTAGCTGACATTATGCCAAGTATACCTGCATCTAATCAAATGCTAACTCTAACCCTATGTGATGTCAGCTAAATGAACTTTTAGTGAAACAACTGTCCGTGAAGTGAACAGCACTGAATTTTAATAAACTAGTTGAATCATAAATACCTGTCGCAGAAAAGCATCCTCACATATCCCAAATATTGAAACTTTATATAGGGATTTAAAATAAATAGACCCCTTAAAAAAAGAATAAATAAATAGAAAATAAAAAATTATAAAAATATTTAGCTCTTTAAATTTAAACTGGCGCATTTTAAAACTTTTATATAGAGATAAGACCTGATCAATATTTTAAATACGTAGAAAAAACTGGTTTTTTCTATATAAAAAATTGATCGGGTCTCATCTCTACTTCTATGTGATTTTACAGACTTATTGTCCGCAAAATTATAATTATAACAATGAAATTATCGCAGTTTGCAAAATAATATATTTTTGATCAAGGTTTGCAGATCGTGTTTCATATTAAAATTACCTGATTGTCATCCGATTGTTGCGATTGTGCATAGCTATTTTAGCGTAAGTTAAATATAAAAATAGAAGATTCATAAATTTTGATTAAAAATACATCATTTTGCAAACCGCGATAATTAATATTATTTAATTATGTAATTGCACTTCCTAATATAGATACAATTCAGAAATTTAGTTGTTAAAGTTTTTGAATATCAGCGTAAATAACTTGCTAGGAATATAACTTGTTTAAATGAGTTGTATGCAAGGTTGTATAATTACAATAATTTATAATTTTGGTAATAAGTTACCCGATAAGTTACCAACTTATATTCGACTCCGTATTTTATATTACCAAAACTATAGAGATAGTGATTACTTTTCACTGTGCGGACTACACGCAGCACACAGAAACAAATTTTTTGTGTATATTTTTTTAAAACAGAAGATGTGCAGATGCTGCACAGAACAAATTACCAAACAGTTGCTTTTAGTTTTTATTTTATTCTCTACACAGAAAATGTTTTCAAGTTGTATGGTATCCACACAGTAAATTTCAGTTAAAAGAGTAACACTAATGCAAATAAGATTTTTAATACTTCTATTCATTTTCTAAATCACTATCTAATATTTTTTTTTAAAAAAATTTCTTTTTGAAACTACTCAATATATATTTTTATAATAAATATTACCTCTTGTTGTGAGGAAAATGGAAGATTTACGGCTTCCGCAAAGTCCCACGAAATGTGATTCTCAAACTCCAAAGAATTTAATATTCCTGAACGTAAAAGCGTAGATGGGTCATTAAAAAATTTTAATTGTTGTTTTGTATTAACTATACACTGCCTAAAATTTAAATTCATATAAAATAAAATAAAATAATCGTTATAAAAAAAAACTATTATTATTAGTAGAGATTGGACCCGTTAAGAAACTCTTCACCCAAGTATTATTAGATTACTCAGGTTCATACCTGTGGCTGAAATATTTCGGCCATTGTGGCCACGTAGCAAATGTTTAAAGCAAAGTCATTAATAATTTGTAAATGTGATAGAAATCAGGCTTTATACTTTTTGATATTTCGGCAAGACCATTTGGTATTTTGACAACTCTTAAAGTTTCGGCTATATATTAAATACAGATTGCCAAAAATTTCAGAGTCTATTGAAATACCAAAAGGTCTTGTATAAGTTTCTGCGAACCTGGCTTAACATATATAAAGCCTAATTCCTATCACATTTACAGATTATTGATAACTTTGCTTTGAATATTTGCCACGTGGCCTAGTCATATAACGATTTCTACTCAGATTCAATTTCTAATCATAGGTTTCTTACTTGTAATAATCTCGCTCTTGATGTGCCTAATTGATATGATCATTCCATTGTTGAACATTTTGGTCTCATTCACTTTCTATCCAGAATTTAGCATTAAATCGCATATTTTTGCAAAGCATACAGAGGTTATTGCGAGGGGATAAAAATCGAATTTCTGGTATATATTTTTTCCAAATTCGTATAAAAGACCATCGACTAATATTAAATTCAGAGATTTCATCTAAACTTGATTGATAAATACGATATAATCCAACATAACTTTCACTTGCAGAAAGATATGTAATAGCTATAGTATCTTTGCGAAAGTGGCGACCTAATATTTATTAATTAAAATATATACAATTTTCATTCACAAAAAAAAAAAAGGAATTTCAAAACATAAATAATTTTGCTTATATTAAAAATCCTTGAATAGGTACTGCTCACTTCACCGACAATCATTTTACCGAAAGTTTATTTAGCTGATATCACATAGTACTTGATTAGCTACAGGTAGTGATGGGCATGCACGGGATCTGTGCGGAATCACGCGCAGATCACGCGCGGGATTCTAGCATGTTCTCCAATTCAAGCTAGCTAGCTCACATTAACATAATTTTAAGAAACCCACAATGTAATCCTATTCCGCGCATCACACGCGGATCACGCACGTAACACGCATCCCGCGCAGGATATTTTGGAAAACTGTGATTTGCTCATCACTAGCTGCAGGTAGTGTTATGAGCCGATTAGAGGCTAGTTGACTTAGTCAACTTAGGTGACAAGCAGGGCTTAAACGACTATAGTAATTTGCTGGCCATGCATAAGTTCTGTTCTATGATCTATAATATATTTAGAATTTAATTAGCTAAAATAACAATTCAATGCATGATTAGCGTTATGAATAACAAAAGTTGTTAGTTTATATACGTACGTACTAATTTTGATGAATCAAAAAAGACACTTTAAACAATAACTGTGACGCAGTAAATGGCCGGCAAATTAATATAGTCGTTTAAGCCCTGGTAGCAAGTATCGTTACAGGTTAGTTATTTGCTTATTGTTTATAAAAAACAATGTGAGTTTATTACCAGTAATGTAAGTATTGTCATTACTCTAACCATAAAGTAACAACACCCCAAATTAGCTCTTAATAACTTAGTCAACTAAACTGATGACTTAGCAGTGTTAAAAATTCGTTGTGTACGTATTGTTATTTGCACAAAATTAACAATAGGGCTGGGCAAATGCACAAAAAAATAGAATAATATTTATGTATAAAAAAAATTTTCTGCACAACATATCTGTTCTGAATTTTTAATACTGCTTAGCCAATTACTCAGTTAGTCGACCATTAGTCAATTCGATCGACTAACAACACTAACTGCAGGTATATGTTTTTAGCAAATTGTCACTTAGCGTAATGTTGGCTAAATAAACTGTTGATGAGCTGATTGTTAGTAAAATAAGGCGAATCCATTTTGAACACTCTAATATGTAAATTTACCTGGTGATGGTAACCCATGACAATTAGCATAATTGATGATAAATGTAAGAATATTTAAAATGGTTGCGAATGACAAAGCATTGTGAGATCTTCTTCCTGAAAGTGCATGTACAATTGGTTTAATACCATTAATTTGATAATGATTACGAATGCTTTTCCACTTTTTATCTGACAATGAGTATATAGTTTGAAAAGCTTTTTCACAAATTCCGCTATCATTTAAAGTATATTTAACTGTTAAATATTGTTTTTCTTTACCAAACAAAGTATCTTTTGAACGGGCCATTACATGAAGCATTCCTAAAATAAACATGTTATACTCAGTTTTAGATAATTTTTGAATGTTATCAAAAATTTGAAACGCGAATTCCTGATTAATTTTAGTTAAACATTTTTTAGTTTTACAACAAACTAATATACGAAGTTTTAAAAAAAAGGCCTCCTTTTCCTGCTGATCTAGAAGAGTTATTAATTCTTCATTAATTTCTTGCTCTTCATTACGTTCATTAATAGTATGTTGTGTAAATATTCTTTGAAATTTTTCGATCTGTAATGGAGTAAGAATTTGATTATCAAATGTTGTATTTTTTTATCGTCTTGTATATTGCTAATTTCGACATTTTCAAAAAAAGATTCTTTTGTTTTGAATGTTTCCTTCAATTCTAACTCATAATCATTATTTGTTTGATAGAACATTTTGAGTTGTTAAATTCTTTCGCTAACGAATATATTTCTGAATGTGTCTCTAAAAAAATTGAAGAGACTAGTGTATGTGTCGAATCCATTTTTTTTTTTTTTTTTTTTTTGTTTTTTGATAAATCAAACATGAACTGAAACAAATATATAGCTTATAATTATACAATTGATTACACAATTATTAGACGAAGAAATCATTATTGTATTGTTACTTCACTTATGCAAAGCATGCATAAAATGCTTGATTATGCATCAAAAGTATTGAAACTTGGAATTTTTCTTTGTTCTCAACAATACACTTCAAAAATATGTATATTAGGTTTAGACACTAACCTATTCAGGGAATAATTTAAAAGATTGTAAATCAATACATAAAAGCAATTATTATCTCTATTGTTAATTAGAGTTCTGGACTTATGCAATTTCAGGGATTTTTTTCATTGTTTAAACAATGAAAAAATCAATGAAATCGCATAAATCTGGACATCCTAATTGTTAATGCTTCAGATAAAAACTTACTATATATTAGGAATAATCCCTCAAGTTTATTTATAAAATACGATACAGGTTATTGTCAAGATATGATGTTCAAGTTTTATTTTTAGTAATAAACGCCTACATGCATACATAAAAAAATAATAGTTAAAAAAACTCTATTACATAGTATATTCACTATACGTAATACCATAACGACAAAATATAAGACTCTGTTATGTACACAATTCAAAGAATGCAATATAGAAATTATAACATAATTGACATCATTCAAATATAGACTATTATAATTATAGTAGCATCAAGCCAAATATTCTAACCGGATAATTCATACTTACCATGCCCCTTAACTCTAGTTCTATGTTCATAACAATAGCCAAGCCAGAATATTTCGCCAGATTATTCATGTCTGCAGAATTTCGATAATGAATGAATGAAATCCGAATTTATTCCAACAATTACTTTATTGGTCAAATTCAAAACAATAACGACAGCAGCATCATTGTATGTACGCGCATACATTCATACATTCAGTGACAAAAACATTCGGTCGATTAAGAACAAAACTATTTTATCGTTATAGAAACTCTATAGGTGGTCAATGCTGTTCTCTATGCGCTTGTACAGACAATGTGAGTATTGCAGGTTTGGCAAATTCAGGTTTATATCCGACCGAATGATTGTTTTTTTGATTCGATAAGTTATTGATTTCGGCATGATGAATATAATGTTTATTATTTACAAAAATAGTCTAAAGCTAGGTACGTTCATGAGTTTTAAATTGAATACTAATCGATTTATAAATTAAAATTAATGTGAAACATATAAAATACTACAAGTAGAGATAGGTGGTAGAAGTCTTTCAACATATCCATATTTTTGAAATTGAAGATCTGCTAACATCTAATTGTACCTAATTGTTTAGCGATTGTTCGAATTGATAACCCTTCTAAATTTTTTTCCAGCGTGTATGCTTCAAAAATATCTTATTTAATCAGAGTTATATCGATATTTGTTGTCACTGCTGCACTGTAAATAGAGGTCATTTAAAACCTTGTAGTATTTTATATGTTTCATGTGAGTTTTAATTTACTAATCAATTTAAAACGTACACACGTAGTACCTGAATTTAAACTATTCGTAAATAATAAACGTTATAATGATCATGCCAAAATCAATAACTTATCGAATCGACAAATAGTCATTCTGTCAATTTTTTACCAAATGTTTCAAAATTAAAGAAAGCCCGAAGGTCGAATCGGTTCCAAACTCTATTATGTTTATAATGACCAAACAAAAAATATTATAGTACGATAATTCATACCTACAGATTTTCGATAATGAATGAATGTATTATTTTATCCTTCTTAACTCCAATTCTATGTTTGTAATCCGGCTTCTTCTTAACTCTACTTCTATATTCACAAATATACTGATATCGATTTTAAGGTTATAAATTACAAAAGTATAAACCTAATTAAGCGTAACTAAAGACATCTATTACCTTTATTCAAATCAACCTGACACATAATACAATATAAAAAAAAATTATTTTTGAAATTATGCAGATTTTTAATAAAACAAGGTAGATAAATTAAAAACGTTATCAATTCTAAGTAAAGCCATGAATAGCTCTTAGCAGATAATTTAAAAAGATGCTAATAGAAAAAAAAATTATGTCTCACATTTGTAAAGCCATGAATGTCTCTTAGAAGATAATTTAAAAAGAAAAAAAATTAACTCTCATTTATATTCTTAAAATCCATGATTTTGATTGGCTTATCAACATGCTGATAAATTCCGGTGATGTACATCGATTTATATCGGAAATATTTATCCGATCAAACTAGTTTTTTGTGCTATTTTATCTATAACATAAAATTTTATTAAGATAATAGCATTCTTACTTTAAGTAAAAAATGTTTCCGAGTCAATTTTGAATTGACTAAGCTTAAAAAAAAAAATTTCAAAAAATTTCAATTTCATCCCTTTCTGCAGCACCTAGCCCATATGTTAAATAAGAGAGATATATTAGATCTAGTAGTTAAATTAATAAGTGTATGACAAGTAGTAAAGCTTTTTGTATCTAATTAAAAGCCAAATAGTTCAAAAATAAAACACAAAATAATAAGAATAAACTAATATAAATACATATATTGAATACTATAAAATATCTATTTTGACCAACTACAAAAATAAAAATTATGTAGAGAATGTTAGTCGATCTTTCTATTTAAAAATATTATAATGAATTAAAATATATTTTATACCATTATAATAATTAGAGTTGGAGTCTCAAATAATTCTATAATATATACATAATAATAAATTTAGTACTGCAAAATTTAGTGCTCTTAAAAATGCAGTAATCTTTATGATAATAAATTGATAGTTAATATTTAGCTATCGTATAGTAAAAACAAATAATTTGTTTTGTATTATCAAGTAATAGAAATCAGAGATAATTTCAGAATTTTTATTAATCTTTTAATACTATAAGTTCTAATAGGATTATTAACTATATTGCAGAATAAACTATATCAAAACTACTATGATAAAAAAGTTTAAGTTTGTGTAATCTAATTTGAGAGACAAAATTCTAAACCTAATTTTTACATATAAAAATTTGGAATTTTAGTCATAATTCTAGATTATATATAAAAATATTTGACATTATGACAAATCAGAAACAATTTGCAAAACTAAATAAATACTATTTGGGTTTTTACTAAATTCCAAATTAGCAAGTTTGAGGTGCAACTCTAAGTACTAGATATACTTAGAAAATTCAAAATACTAGATAGATTATTTTTAATTCTATCATTAGATTCAGTATTATTATTATTATTAGAATCAGTATCAATAGCAAGTATTGTAAAATTATTTATTTAAATAGTACTCAGAATAGTAGTATATATATTTTATAGAAAGAAATACTTCAAAGTAAATAATCTAGAATTGAGAGATAAAATTAATACTTCAAATAAAGAATAAGAGCAAGATTCAGAAAATTTTGTGAATGATAATAGTAAGCAAGTTGGAGATACTGAGAATAATTATAATAAACATATAAAATTTAAAAAAATATTTAATACACAAATATACATATTATCTTTCATAATATTTTAATTAATAATATTATTGTATTAGATAAATAATTTTTTAAATATTATTAATTTATGATTTCTATTTTATTAGTATTGAATTCATTTTTTTTTTATCAATTCAAATAAATTCTTTATTAATATATTGTCAAATTATTAATTAAAAGTTCACATGATATAAAAATATTTTTAAGAGAATTCAAGTATTGTTACTGTAATAAATAATATATCTTTTTTGTATTATATCAAAGTTACAAAATTAATGATTTTATTTAATATTAACTTATTATTTAAATTATGTTTTCAAATTTTTAAAATTGTTTTTAAGCAAAAAAAAATTTAATCAAATTGTTTTTAAATGAGAGACTATTTTTTGAGTTATAGTATTTATAAAAATATTTTTATATTCTCTGAAAATAGTGAGAACATTTGATTTTAACAATATAGTTAATATTATTTTAGAACTTTGAAAAAATTAAGCTCAAATTCAAATTAAAGAAGTTATCTTACATAATTTATTTTCTAATATTTGATAAATTGTTTACTTAATATAATATTCAAACTTAAACTTTATTTATTTTTATAGTAATAAAAAATTAAATTTTATTATTTATTTTAGAGTAATAATTTTTAAAACAATCAGGCTTAGTCTCTAAGCAAAATAATAGAATATTACTATAATTAGTAGTAAATAATAGAAATCAATTATATTTTTATCATATTCAATACTAAATAATAATAATATATATATATTTCTCTTTTTTCTCTTCATTTTATTAAATATCTTTCTATCTAATAAATGAGATATTAGAATTTAAAGTTTTTCTTCTTGTTCTTTTTTTTTCAATATCTGAAATATTTTTAATTAAGCTTTGTCTGTTTGTAATTATAGATCTTTTTTCTATCTAATATAATAATTAGTATAGCTATCATTATATTGTTTGCAATTTCTTCAAAGATAAACTTTGCATACTAAATTAATTACTCAAAATCTTTAAATCTTTGTTTTTATTCTTGTCTTTTATAATACCTATTAAATTTAATTTGATTTTTTTTCTTTTTATTATTTAATTCAACTATATTCATATTTTGGTTACAAATTAATAGTAACTTGTATATTCTTGAATAATAAATATAGTAACTAAGAATAAGCTAAAGTTTGAGTTAAATAGAGTAAAAATAGTAAAAAATAATTATTTACAAGTATAGTATCTAATAACTAAATAAAATAAGAAAAGCTATATTCTGAAATATTATATATACTATTTTGAAAAGTTAATCTATAATATTAATACTTTCTATATTGCAATATAGCAATATAGTTATTAATTATTTATAATAGAGTTGTTATTAGAATTAGAACTAGTTTCACAAAATCTTATAATATAATATTCTGTATTT